AGTGTCCTTTCATTTCAACCTGCTTTCCTTTTAGCATTTCTTGCAGGGCATGTCTGTTGATTCGGAACAAACTCCCTCAACTTTTGTTTATTTGGGAATATCTTACTTTCTCCCTCACTTTTAAAGGACAGTTTTGCCAGATATAGAATTGTGATATTGTGAAATATATATTTGGTCATTGTCCCTGTTTCCTGGCATATAACTCCTAAAATCCTTGGAATCTCCTGAGCAATAAGAGGGTCTTTTGCTTGTTAATGAGATGATAAGTTGCTGGTGGTGTCTGAGATAGCTTCAGGTGGTGGCTGGTCACCTGAATGACCAAGTCTTCATCAGGAGGTTGGGACTTTCAGTCCTACCCTGCAGCCTCTGGGGAGGGGAGAAGGGCCAAAGGTTGAGTTGATTGCCAGTGACTAATGATTAAATCATTCATGCTTATATAATGAAATCTCCATAAAAGTCCAAAAGGAATGGTCTCAGGGAGTTTCTGGATAGCTGAACACATGGAGATGCCTAGAGGTTGGCTGGCCCAAAGAGGACATGGAAGTTCTGTACCCCTTCTCCCTTACCTCACCCTATACATCTCTTCCATCTGGCTATTCGTACGTATCTTTTGTACCGAGTTTTGTGGACCACTCTAGCAAATTAATCAAAGCCTAAGGAGCATATCATGAACCCTCGGTCAGAAGTATATGTGGCAACCTAGTACCTGGCGACTGGCATCTGATATGGGAGCCAGTCTTGTGGGACTAAGTAAGCCTCAATCTGTGGGATGTGACGTTATTGCTGGGTAGGTAGTATCGGAATGGAAGAAGGATACCCATTTAGTGTCTGCTGAAGAATTGATTGGTTGCTGGTAGAGAGAAATCTCCACACAATTTAGTAGTCAGAGATGAAGTATTCTGTGTTGTGTTGATTGTGAGTAGTTAAACAGAGGAAAAACATTTTGTTTTTTTCTCCTGTATCCTTATAAGAACTTTTGGTTGACGGGTTTTTTTCTTTTATCACATTGACTGTATCAGCCCACTGCCTTCTGGCCTCCAGAGTTCCTGATGTGAAATCTGCTGATAATCTTACTGAGGATCCCTAGTATGTAACTATTTATGTCTTACTGCTTTCAAAATTATCTCTGTCTTTTAACAGTTTGATTATACTGTTTCTTGGTGTGGGCCTCTTTGAGTGCATCCTGCTTCCATGCTCATCCTATCTGCATGCTTCTTGGATGTTTATATTCATGTTTTTCACCAAATTTGGGGGATTTTTGGCCATTATTTCTTCATATATTCTATCTTTCTCCCTTTTTTCCTAAGACTACCACAGTGTATTGTTGGTTGACTTGATGGTATCCTACAAGTCCCTTAGAGCTCTTTAGTTTTCTTCAGTCTTTTCTCTTCTTCTTCTTCTTCTTCTTTTTTTTTTTTTTTTTTTTTTTTTTTGAGACGCCCTGTTGCCCAGGCTGGAGTGCAATGGCACGATCTTGGCTCCCAACCTCTACCTCCCAGGTTCAAGTGATTCTCCTGCCTCAGCCTCCCAAGTAGCTGAGATTACAGGTGCATGCCACCATGCCTGGTTAATTTTTTTTTTTTTTTTGTATCTTTAGTGGAGATGGGATTTTACCATGTTGGCCAGGTTGGTCTCAAATTCCTGACCTTGTGTTCCACCCCGCTCAGCTTCCCAAAGTGCTGGGATTACAGGTGCGAGCCACCATGCCCAGCCAGTCTTTTTCTTTCTATTCCTCAGACTTAATAATTTCCATTATCCTGGCTTCGAGTTCACTGGTTCTTTTTTTTTTGCCTGCTCAAATCTGCCTTTGAATCCCTCTAGTGAATTTTTAAATTTTTAAATTTCAGTTCTTGTACTTTTCAGCTCCAGAATATCTTTTTTTTTAAATTTCTTTTTCGGTTTCTATTTCTGATGTTTTCATTTTGTTCATAAATTGTTTCTTGACTTTTCCATGTCATCGTTTAGTTTTTCTCAGCATCTTTAAGACAGTTGTTTTAAATTAAGGTCTTTGTCTAGAAGATTTGCCATCAGGTCTTTTTCAGGGACAGTTTCTGTTTTAATTTGTCCTTTGAATGGGCCCTGCTTTTCTGTTTTCTTGTGTGCCTTGTGATTTTTGTAGAAAATTGGACATTTTCATTTAATAATATGGTAATTCTGTAAGTTGGATTCTCTCCCTTCCTTAGGTTTTGCTATTTTTGGTTTGGTTGGTTTTGGTTTTGGTTTTTTTGACTGTTGTTGGCTGTCTTGGTGCCAGGGGTCAGCCTGAGGTATAAATTAAGGTCGTCTCAGGTCTTTTCTGAGCCTGCACCTTCTCTTGAACATGTGCTCTGAATTTCTAATGTACGCATATATATGGTTGCAGTTGAATGTCCTAATCCTCAATGTTTACCTCCCAAAAGAGAAAATAATGAAAGAGGTTAAAAGAAAAAGGCATTGGCCTTTCAATCCTTTGGAAGTTACTTCAGCATAAGCTGGAGGGGGAACAACATAGGGAGGAGGTGGAACATCAGTGCCTCTTTTTCTGTGCCTCTGTGATAAGAAGAAGTAATAGGAGTGGAGCACAGATCCTTGACATTTGGAAGACAGGGTCCTTTCACTCCATCTCCTGCAAGTTGTGTTCGGATTACTCTAGGAATGCGCACAACTGCCCGCTGTGGGGCTGGGGAGTGGGGGACGGGTACCTGCTACTGTGCTTATAGGTGAAATTGACCAAAATTAACTACAATTTACTATCCTCACCTTCCCCTGGAAGTTGCAAGCCTTCAGTAGATTCCAGAGTTCCAAAATAGTTGCATCAGACAGATTCTGCCAGTGTAATTGTTGTCTGGGTGGGGAGGCAGATTTCCTGTACTTCCTACTTTGCCATCTGCTCAGAATCCTCATATGCTTTTATAATATGAAATCTATAATATAAATATTATATATTATTTATATAAATAAAAGATGTATATAAATTATATTTATATATTTTAATATTTATATTTTAGTCATATAAATATAAACTTTGTAACTCAAGTATATTACTGGAAGGACTATATTAAAAATTAATAGATGGATGACGAGAGTAGGGAGACTAATGAGTGCAGGGTTTCTTTTGGAAATGACAAAAATGTTCTAAACTATTTATGGCGATGGTCGCACAACTCTGTAAACGTACTAAAAACATCTGCATTGTATTCTTTATATGGGTAAAATTTATGATAAATTATTTCTTAATAAAGCTGTTTTTTTTCAAATAACTCATCCAGAGCCAACATAAAGCCATTTTAAAATGCCACTGCATAGGCAGCTATGCTGAAAATGAGCCACCACCATATGAATAATATTTTAAATAAGTTGAGTGAAAAATTATCAGTTATTTAATAAGGTATTATTATAGTAAATTTCTGAGTCATTTTAGTTTTTTAAGAGGAAACGGATCTCCCAACTGCTTTGGAAGCTGGTTTCTCCCCTTTGCCCCCAGTGATATGGAGTAAGTACCTGTTTATGTTAATACGTTAAATTCAGTTTCCTCCTTTTTTTTTCCTTTACTAACATGCATTGAGTGTTTTCCACGTTCCCAGCCTTATGCTAGGTACTTTGCATGTATTATCTCATGCACTCATGCATATAAGCTGCATTCACATATGCGCTGACACACAGACAACCCTAATGAGAGGTTCTTTTATCATACCCCATCTTACAGTGAGAAAGCGCAAACACAAAACGGTTAACTCAAGCTCATGATTACATATTTGTATTTTTCTTTCTTGGATTTTGCATTGGGATAATGCTCAGAAAGCTCTTCTTTACACCATACATTTCTGTTTTCCTCTAGTAACGTCTTCATATTTAAATCTTTAAGCTATCTAAAATTAACTTAGGGCCACAGTTAGGCAAGACTTTCATTTTAACTTATAATAAATGGTTCGGTAGTGGTTCTAAAACAGTATGTAAAACTATTCATTTCCCCCCATTTGAGATGTTTATTATGATGCTAAATTCTAATATCTAATATAATACTAAATTTAATATCTGTTTATGGACTTTGTTCACGTTATTGAGTTAGTCCAATTTGAGACAAAGAATTTTGTACCCTTTTACTATCTCATTATCTTCACTCTACTGTTTGGTCTTGGTGATTTCAGATCTAGGTAATTATTGCATTTTCTTAGATCATAAAGAAATGGCACTGTTTTGCAAAAATATGCAATGATTATTTAGAGACATATTTGTTTTAACTGGTTTGAACACTTACCACTCATCCTTTTGTGCCATGATTCCTCATTCTTGTGCTCTTAGACTTCTGGTTGGTACTGATCCTGGGTCTCTGAGACAGCAGGCGCATGGGCAGAGAGGAATAACTATCCTCCCCTTCCTTTGGTGCGCTCTCCATCAGCCAGTGTTTCCAGAATTGGTTTTCCTCCATTAATCGTCACCTGCCCTGTAGTCAGCAACGTTTTTGCAAACCTTTGATCGAAACACAAGGTTGTCTTCACGTCATGGTTGTCAGCGTTGAGAGTTTTCTTCTTTGAGTTTTCACGGATGGGAAACTGTGCTGAGGGCTGCTACAGATGTCACTTTAAATTTTTAACTTTTCTTCATCAACATAGAGAGGTTTAATTTATTTATGAATATATGCATAAAATCTCTCCTGATTTCGTCAAAATAAGCAGTTTCTTACATGAGGAGAACATCTTTATTTAGAAATAAATGAAGAAAAACATTAAATTTTGAGTCTTCAGACTTTCAGGAATAAGCCATGAAGAGGTGGATGCCCACAGGATGGGAAGGTGATCTTCTCACAGGGGTGACCTGCTCCTGAAGAATCTCGGGGCTAAGCAACACCGTATTTTCTGGCACTGCTTACAAACAGTTGTGGCCAATGCAAGCATGACTTTGCTGTGAGGTTGGCTTCTCTGCAGTCCCACGTCCTGTCAGACAGCATGCCAGAGTAGTGAAGGAGAACAGAAATCCGTGCTAAATGCTGAAGTTATTTCTGGAACGTCTTCCTTTTGTAGGAAACCAAGTTGCTAGTGTTTGGTAGTGTTCTGAACAAATTGTTCCTCATCCTAAGTGATGATAAGAGGGCTTACTGGCCTGAAGATCATCACCGAAAGGTATTTGTTCATTCATTTTCACCTCTGCCTGCCCCAGTTCTCTGGTAGGTGATTAGGAAACACCGATCACTAGAAAATCACCTCTTCCTCTGTTGAGCATGGTGACTAGTCATTAACTGTATTTTCAAGGGAGCTCATCTGGTGGACATTCAAGAAGGCTTCCCTGATGGGAAGCAGGCATATGCAAATGATCCTATGTCTGCAGGTGATACTTGAAAACACAGCAAAGTATATGCTTATGCTCATCCCATGCCTGGCATTCTATTTCTAGATCACTGGTATACCTGCTTACAAAAATTGGTGTCAGTGTGCACTAGATAATAGGAGGGGTACAGAAGTAGCCTCAGGGGTCCCTGACCCCTTCCACCAGCAGAGACAAATTTACATACTTATTCTGAACTAAATTTGTCATTAGCATAAAATATATTAATGTGTGATTATTTGAGGAAATTAAAACATAGAAAACTGAATTACATTGATACCAAACTTTACCCACTTATATTTTTCCCAGTCCACAAATGTTGAACACCAATCGTGTGATAAGCACTGGAATACAGCAGTGAGAACCCTGACCTTACAATGCAGTGGAGCAGACAGACAGGTGGCAATTATTTCAGAATGCAGTGTGGCAAGTGCCAGGATCAGGGTAAATAGAGGGTAGCCCAGGAGCACGAGAGAGGAGTGTCTTACTATGTTGGAGGTCAAGAAGCTTCCTGAAGATAAGCCTTGTAGGATACATTGGAAATATCCAGGCAGATAGTGAGTAGAGGACATTTTTGGGCAGAAGTTACAGCCTAGAGATGCTGTTGGAGAGGTGCAGATAATTCAGTCTGATTGCAGCCTTGTGGTTACAGAAGCACATAGGAGCCCCAGGAGATGGGTCATAGAAGTCTAACCTGGAGGAGCCCCATGACAACAAGCTTTGTGTGCGGAACTAATTTAGTCTTCCTAGCCTTAATCAGAGCTGCAAATACATACTTAATGAGGATAATGTGCTATACTTACTTTATTTTCTTTGTGTCCCTTTGGTCAAAGGTGCTTAAATAAATATTAATGAGTCAAGATGGGATAAAGAAACGTGTGGCATTCAGCCAAATATGTGTAATGAGCATAAAATTTGTGAAAAACACTGTTCTATGTGCTAAGGGGATTTAGAAAAACAATAATAATACTAGTTAAATTTTATCACGTTTCCTGTTATCCAAAACAGCTTGCAATCTGAATGGGGGTCTAATTTATTTATTTTTTATTTATTTATTTTTTGAGACAGAGTCTCGCTCTGTCACCCAGGTTGGAGTGCAGTGGCGTGATCTTGGCTCACTGCAAGCTCTGCCTCCCAGGTTCACGCCATTCTCCTACCTCAGCCTCTCGAGTAGCTGGGACTACAGGCACCACCATACCTGGCTAATTTTTTGGTATTTTTAGTAGAGACAGGGTTTCACCGTATTAGCCAGGATGGTCTTGATCTCCTGACCTAATGATCCACCGCCTCGGCCTCCCAAAGTGCTATGGGGATGTAATTTTTTAGTGATGTATTATTTAGGTAGTTATATGTGTATATATATTTTAACTTATATATTTACGTACACCGATAAATCAGGTTGTTACTCGTTAAAGTGCATTAGAATTACATGATGGGTTTGTTAAAACAATTGGAGGGGCCTACCTTTAATATGTCTGATTCAGTATATTTGAAGTTGAAGCCCAAGAATTTGTGTTTCTAATAAATTCCTGGGTGACGCTGATGCTGCTGGTCCAGAACCATTGATAGGAATGCAAGCAAATTAAAGAAGTTCATGAGACTGGGCACGGTAGCTCATGCCTGTAATCCCAGCACTTTGGAAGACTGAGGTGGGCGGATCACCTGAGGTCAGGAGTTTGAGACCAACCTAGCCAACGTGGTGAGCCCCCGTGTCTACCAAAAAAATACAAAAATTAGCTGGGTGTGGTAGCGGGTCCCTGTAATCCCAGCTACTCAGGAGGCTGAGGCAGGAGAATCGCTTGAACCTGGGATGCAGAGGTCTCAGTGAGCCAAGACCATGCCACTGTATTCCAGCCTGGGCGACAGAGTGAGACTCTGTCTCAAAAAAAAAGAAGAAAAAGTTCAGGCTTATGGGAGCCAAAGCATGAAGGCCCAGGTAGAGCTGGATAGAGTTAATCATGAGGTGAATGTTGTTCTTGTTTTGAAAAACGAGTAGAGCAGTTGAATTGTCAAACATAAGCCAAGAGGGCATATTGACTTGAAGGGGCAACATGTGCATAAAGCAAGGCAGCATGCACAAACGTGAAGTTTTGCTTCAGTGGGCAATAAGCTAGTTATTTTGCATAGAGATTTTGCATAGAGAATTTCTGGTTATGAAATAACAAACAAAAACCAGAGAATATTGGATTGGGAAGGAAGGTGAATGAAGTATCTACCAGGATCTTTAACAAAGCCAACATGTTTGCATATTGAAAAATGGGCGCCAGGAATTCACTGTAGGATGCTCAGCTGCAATAAAATCAAGCTTAGCAAGGCATTCTCTTAAGTCCCGTGCTGGATAAACAGGGCCAGGATGAGCCCAAAGCACACAGAAGCCTATTGTATTTTCCTAGGTGTCACGTAGGGAAGGCTTAAGCCTAGCTTTTGTATGTGGAAATACCAGTAGAAAAAAAATAAAAATGGAAAAAACACAGATAAAACTGTAGGAAACATTCAATTTGATAAGGCAAACAAGACAGATCTGTTTTCCTTTCATTTTTTTCTAAATATGGTGCTCCATGTATTTTCAGTGCCTAATACATTGTTCACAGAACAAATACCTTGCTCCAAAAGCATTTTTCTGCCTCAGTTTTCTTATCCAAAACATGGGGGTTATATAGCATGTCTACCTCTACAGGTAAACAAAATAATTGGTGTAAAGTACTTTGATCATCCAAAAGTATGAATATGATTATTATCGCTAATGACAGAATGAGAAATCAGGTTCTCATATGTATTTAAATTGGTTCAGAAAAAGGATATTTGTGCAAATTTCCTCATAGAATGGAGTTGATGGGGTGCCTCAGGAATTGGTGCCTAGTATATGAAATAATTAGTCGGAGAAAAGTAGCTAGCTCATTGAAGTAACTGATGACACAAAATTATGTAGGCTAGGAAAAACCATAGAGAATTGTATGAAATATTCCAGAAGGAGCTAATCAAACAGTATGACCAGAAAATAGGACAGTAGTTCCATTTTAATGAAGATAAATGACTTTCTTAGAAAAGGAAATAGTTTTCATTTTCTCAGCATGTTGATTAACCAAGAGATATTAGAGGGAAAAGCAGTATGTCATGGCGCTTAACACATTTATTGGAATGCAGAAGTACCATAGTGCTGTATTCATTCATTCATTCATTCATTCATTTGCTGGACTCTTTATTCAGGACACACTGACCATCTGTATGTCAGACAGTTGTGCTAAACAGCAGAGTGAGTAGGGAACAAAAGTAAATGAAGACGCAATCCCTCCCTTTGAACAAGCTGACAATCCAGAAAGAGGGACATAAAGGTAAACAGATATTTATTACATAAAGGTAATAAATAACTATTAGTTTTCCATTGCTGTGTAGCAAATCACTGAAACTCAGTAACTTAAAACAACCCACATTTTCTGTGTCTGTGGGTCAGGAATCTGAGCGTGGCTTCCATAGATTCTCTGTTCAGGGTCTCAGAAAACTGGAGTCAGGGTGTTGGCTGGCTGCATGCTCATCTGGAGGCCTGACTGGGGAATAATTTTTTTTTTTTAGTCGAGGGTGTTGCTGTGTTTCTTAGGCTAGTGTGCAGTGGTGCCGTCATGGCTCACTGCATCCTCGAGGTCCTCAGCTCAAGCGATTCTCCCACCTCAGCCTTCCAGTTTACTTGGATTACAGGAATGAGCCACTGTGGCCAGCTCAAGAATCCATTTTTTAGGCTCACTTAAGCTGTTGGCAGAAGTGATTTCCTTGTGCTGTATAACTGAAGATCCCAGTTTTTTGCTTGCTGTCATCTAAAGGTCACCCTCAGTTCCTAGAGGCTACCCACAATGCCTTGCTACATGCGCTTGCTCAACATAACCCCTTAGTGTTCCTCAAGGTAGCAAGAAGAATCTCTCACTGCAGTCTAAAATGGAGATTTATATCAAATACCTTGGGAGTGATAGCCCATCATCTTTACCATATTCTATTGATTATAAGTAAGTCACAGACAAAGGGGTTACACAGGTCATAAACAATAAGAGGAAGGTAATATGGGAGTGGGGTCGTACCTTACAGTATGTCTGTCACAGTCACATACTACAGACTGCCTCTTGAAGAACACATCTGAGACAAATTTAGGAAATTATCAGACATGTTATTCATCCATTTCTCTTGGTACTTTTGGCTACATTCTTGAATCATTTAAGGTTGCTGGATGACTTTATAATTGGATCTGCCAGGACTGCCTTTATTAAATTGCCCTTTAGTGTTGTGCTATTGACTTTTATCAAAGTTCACGTATAATAGCAATAACAAATTACTATTGTTTAATTATTGGTCAAAAAAGTAAGACAAAAGGACACAATTTACATGTATCTTAAATATTTCAGTTTAACCTAAAATTCATAAGTATGAGTAAGGGCGCGGTGGCTCACACCTGTAATCCCAGCACTTTGGGAGGCTGAGGTGGGTGGATCACGAGGTCAGAAGTTCAAGACCAGCCTGGCCAGGATGGTTGAAACCCCGTCTCTACTAAAAATACAAAAATGAGCCAGGCATGGTGGCGGGCACCTGTAATCTCAGCTACTCGGCAAGTTGAGGCAGGAGAATTGCTTGAACCGGGGAGGCAGAAGTTGCAGTGAGCCGAGATCGTGCCACTGCACTCCAGCCTGGGTGACAGAGCAAGACTCCACCTCAAAAAAAATTCATAAATATGACTGTGTCAACATTATAAGACCAAGGTCATTTCCAGTGTTTAGGTTTCTTTTTAGCTGGTCAAGCTCTTGAAGACATGTGTGAG